ACTTTGTCTCCCCCCCGCCGGTCAAGTTTGTGGCAGGCCGCCATGCCAGCTGGATCCCGAGCCTGGTTCCTGACATCTGCCGCAATCCTTACATGGCAGGTCAGTCTCTTGGGCTTGGCGGCGAGCTTCCCATTGTCATCGGACTCATGGCGTTCCACGCTTCTCCCGACGGCGGCCGAACCGTCAATGACGTTTTTCTTGGACGCGGAGAAAGTGGTGGGCTTTGGAGGAACTATCGCTGGCGAAGCAACTCGTCACCTGCTGGGTGTTCGTTGTTCCCCCTCCCCCTCTATCTCCAGTGTATTCCTGAATCAAACTGACACTCTAGTAAAGACACTCTTTCAGAGCAGGACACCCCCCGTGGCTACCTGGTGCACATCTGCCTGGACCCTGAGAACCAAACGGGCTCTACATTCGACTCTCTGTCCATGCTTGAGTGGAATGGCGTTCTTGTCCAAGGCTAAGCCAAGGTGCCTCCCGAGTCCCATGGCCATTGAGCACAACGACACAGTCCATCACAGTTTGATGGAAATTGTTTCTCTTTGTCTGTTTTGTTTGTATCCCGTGTTTCCAGTTTTTGCTATCAGGCTCGACAATTTGTGTCTGGAACACAAGCCCCTCGTTTTTTTGTTTACAAAGTTTACCCGTGTCAGGAACACGAAGCCGCTCATTTTGATTCGCTAGCAAGGGGGAAAAGCCTAACATCTTCCCCCAAAAGGAAAACAGACACAGATTCACACAAGTGTTTTATGTTTTGACATTTTTTATTCTTGTCTTTCTCTATACTTGATTGAATTGATTCGTTTTATAAAAGCCCGCTCAGCCTCCTCCTTGATGTGAATGGCCTTGCCCTCCCACCCCGAACAGTTTCATGACCCTGATAATGTAGTAAGTAATTGCGCATGCGCCTGTCATTGCGGTTTAAACTTTTTCCGCCCGTGCTTTTCATTTGGAAGTTGTGCGGAATGAGTGATTGCGTCGTGTCTTTTGCACGCTGCAGCTCAAACGGCATCTGGTAGTCGGACGGCAATGTCACCCGATTGAGTAATGTATCTGACCCATGGCAAGGACGGGTATTGTAGCTAGGAAACGTAAGTCATTTACCCCCATCGACAAAAAGAGAGAAAGAGAAAGAGCAAGGGGAAGGGGATATGAGTACCTTTGGTTCCGTAATCTTCAAATACCGCACCTGGATACCACTCGTCGTAAAGTAGGGAATCTCAAACTTGACCTGGATGGGCCGCTTGGCGCCTTTGCCCATGCCGCCGACGCCGCCCATGCTGCCGCCAAACCCGCCCGTCATGCCGCCGCCGTGCTCGTCGTCACCCCTGACGCTGGGGAGACCCAGCTCGGCGCGCATGAGGAACTCCTTCTGGCCGCCAAACTGCTTGATCTTCCAGACGATGGCACTCTGCTCGGGGGCGTAGTGCACGGAGCCAATGTTTGTGCGGAAGCGCGGGGTGTCGGCGTCGTCGGGGACGGGGACGATGATCTCGACATTGTTGGCGGTGCTGCGGCGCTTGAACTGCGCGCGGGCCTTGAGCATGTACTCGATGCGGGAGCCCGAGTGGGACTCGACGACGCACTCGATCCAGATGAGCGGCTTGACCTGGGTGTTTAGGCGGTACGACATGAGCTCGAACTCGCCGTCCGGGGGGATGAAGGAGATTGTGCGGTCGTTTTCGAAGCGCGCCAGGCGCACGCACTGGTGGAACTTGACGTCCTCCATCTCAATGGCCTTGCCGCGCGTGGTGCGGCCCGTCGTCTCGAACATGACCTTGTCGTTGAGGCCGAGGCGCAGCTCGGGCATCCCGCTGAGGTAGCACTTCATCTTGATGGCGCCGAGGATCTCGCTGCGCAGCACGTTGCCGTCGGAGCTGACGAGCAGGTTGAGGCTCTCGACGACGTCGAGGAACACCTCGTTCTTGCGGTACCGGATGCCCTCGGAGCGCCACGAGACGGCATTGGTCACAGCGATGGGCGGCCGCGCCTGCACCTCCAGCTTGTGCGACTCCTGCGTGATGTACTCCTGCAGGATCTTGGACTCGGTCGTCTGCGGGTAGCCAAAGTCCATCATCTCGTCGAGCAATTCGTAGATGATGACGAAGTTGTCGCGGATGGACTCTTCCTCCAGCGCCTTGAAGTACTCGGTGAAGACTTCGACGATTTTGTGCAGGAAGAGGAGGATTTCGGCGGCGTTGGTGTTGCGCTTGGTCAGGGCGAGGAGGTAGAGGTTGTTGTGGCGGATATATAGGTACTGTTTGTACGTTTTTCAAGTCAGATTTTTTCAAGTCAGAAGGTGTTGCGTCTTTCTTTTGCTATTCTTTTACATGTATATATATTTGCGAACAAGGTGTGACAAACGTTGATGCCTTCGTGGGAGAAGCAGGGCGGTACAGCGGATGATTCTTCTTCGGCTTCGGATAGGAGGACGGGAAACTTTTCCACCGCTGACATGGGAATGTCGCCTCTATAGTTGCGGGCAAGGAGTGTCTGGTGCGGCGATTGCGTTAGCTGAATCGTGCCCTTCTTTTTTCATCTTCAAGCCCGATATAAAGGTTTCAGGGACGTAGTGCTTTTTACCTTGCCCTTCAGATCTAGGAAAAACAGTGCCGAAGCCATGGTTGCTTTTAAAGGCCGCCAAAGAGCTTTGACGCGGGGAGGGAGAGATGCCAGCCAGCGAGGGGTATGGGATGAATCAATTGGCACGAGGGCCAAGGGGAATGTTGTCGAGGGATTCTACAAGAGCCGTTTCGTCATGTGTTTCGTGTCCCAGGTATCCAGATTGAAGTGGTGGAAGGGAAAGTTTCGGCAATCAACCGTCGGGATTGTGATATGGCGAGATGTAGCAATATGGCTTCAATAAGCATGTCTCCTGTGTCCTCGAGTGTCGTGCACCGATCCAGCCACCCTGGGCATTACGGGAATGAGTAGCATTCGCTTGGCAATGTCATTGGTCGGCAGAACTGCGGTAGATCTCGTACCCTTTTCCTCTTCCCCTTAGTCACGTGGAGAGATGGGTCCCTTTGGATTTCACCCACTTTAAAATATCGAATTTGTCCGAGGCTTTGGTTTTTTCTCTTCTTCTCACCAACGCGCCCGTTAGACAGTGCAGCCCATCCTTCAGCCCGTGTTTGACATGACATTCTGTTGTGTCTCTCTACGGAGCCGTGGGCGGAAGCTGCGATTTGGTGGCGCGGAGAGGGATCTATTTTGGTTTCATTAAGAGCTGCCCAAGTACTCTTCATTTTTCCGTGGCTTGGGCGGCGTCAGAGGAGCCGGACATTTTTATGCGCCCATCATGACTGCTTGACTATGAATGCGGAACTATACTTCTCGCCTCGACAGTCTTTTCTCTGAGAGATATCTCCCTGGCCGACGGGAACTGAACTGATGTTGACCATGGTCCGTCCTGGCCTGCTATGCCTGGGCACATGACATGGGCAAAACTACTTGTGAAAACTGGGCGCCTGTACGGCCTGGATACACTCAAGTACTCGATTGAGATAAAGCATGCTTTTGCAGAACAGTGCAATGTGGCGTGTCCAGATATCTGCCTTGGATGTTGCTGTATGAGCAGTCTGTGATGCCCATCGCCTTTCAGTTTGCTCAATAACTTTGCAGAGACCAGCCCTTTGTAGGCACCAAGGCGCTTCAGTGGCGTGCTGTTACTCACTCGTGACGATTCTGGGTTTAAGCTTGCTTGAACATGCACCTAACACTAGCGATTGCTCTGAACCCGTTGACATGTGACGGTGTGTGCATAATACAATGCCATGTCAATTATCGTCGACCGAGAAAGCCAGGAGGAGTTCTTGCCATGCATTATTGTAGTCAAATCTGGCCGCCTCTAATACCCTACCAGTATGAAGCACCCGTAATTCATAATCGACCGGGTTTTAACCCCAACAAAACGAACAGCAGCCCCGGGCCGGGCGTGTCTTCCATGTTACAGACGAGGTGGATCGTGAATGGTCGTTTGCTCAGGAGGGCAACTCCCGCTTCGTTTGCTCTGTGGGGACAACTAGACGGGCGCCATTTGCGGGTTGACTACGGATATTAGTATTGGGAAGTCAGTGACGATTGACATTGGTTCTCGACATTGTAAGCGTTCCTGTGTCACAAGACCTGGCAATGTATGGGCCTGTGTGATGGGTGTCTCTAACCCAGCTTCGTCCCGGGAATCTCGTCCCGGAATCTTGATTGGTACTACTGGCTAACTTTTCAAGGCTCCGGTAGTGCTGTAAATCGGGGAACAAGTCCCTTCAACAAATCGGCATGACTTTGGGCTTGTGCATCAAACGGCAAGTACGTAATAGGGTGGCTCGGCTTGGCCACAATACACCCGTCAATATCGGCATGTCTTGGAAGCACTCCTTGAAAGCCATGTGTTGTTGGATGATATCCATTGCAAGCCAAATGCATATTAGCAAATGAATGGCATGCCTGGCCATCAGCGTAAAATCAGTCGTTATTCCTGAGACTAGCAGTCATCGAGTTTCTTCTTCTCGTCGGCAGCTTGTGAATATCAATCGCCCCAGGCTCAGCTGGCATCCACTGCAGGGACGTCAAGCCAATCGAAAAGAGTTGAGGAGGAGTGTGTCTGGGCGCATACCAACTTCCGGCTTGGTCCTTCTGTAGGTGTTGGTTTTGCAAGGCTCCAGGCTGATGTCACAAGCTGGGGAAACCACCTTCGGACGCCACTAGCGCTTCTGGGTTGTGTACATGTGATTTCCCCACCAGACTGCCGAGCACGTGCAAGCCAATGACGAGATGGTATTACAACTCGGGGGCCCGTCGCTTCCCACAACCAGGGCCGGCGGAAACAGTCATTGGAGACATGGAGATGGCAATGATGATGATGGGCAAGCATCGATATCTGACAAGACTGGACAGAGGACTTGACGATGGGTGTGCCGAGTCTGAGTCGACACTTTTTGGCCTTGGAAAACTCCGTGTCGGCAGTACTCGTCAAACTATCCGTGGCCAGGATGCAGATATCAAGCTTCGCACGCCGGTATTAGGGTTGATGGCAAGATGGCAAAGCTGCTGAAATGCAAGTATTTGGGTTGAATGGCGAGACAACTGGGGACGGCGATCATTCGGGGGGGCAACATGTTCCCGAACTCCGGCTGGACATCTGGAGCCACCATCCCACCAACCATGACAACTGTAGTATGCGGGATGGCGTCTGGAGGTCAGTGCCTTACACCGGGATTCTGCGAGGACGCCATCTTGAAGCCACACTAGGGAGGGCGGGAGTCTGCCAACAGGGCATTGTAGTTGCGGGATGCCAGGTTTTTTCCATCCTGACGGCTCGCTGAGAATAGAACAGCGGAGGCGGCCGATGCTGAGATTGGTGCAGTAAAAAGACGCGTTTCATTCAGGCCTGGCCGACACCATCAGCAGGCCGCAGTCAATGCGTTGCAGCTAGGAAAATTGGAAGGAACATTTGAAGGAGCGGCGAACCAAACATAGGCCCGTAAGCATTCCGGTCTGGCGCCTTCTGTGCAAGTCGAGGGCATCTCGACCACAACTGAAGCTGCTTGCTTTCAATTCTGCTTTCTAGTGGATGGGCGGCCAATTTTTGTTGGGGCACTTGGTTGGCCTGACTCGGACAAGAAGCAAAAAAAAAAAAAAAAAAAAAAAAAAAAAAAAAAAAAAAAAAAAAAAAAAAAAAAAAAAAAAAAAAAAAAAAAAAAAAGACGGCCAACTGGCGACACAAAGAGCGTGCGGCAGAGAGACATGGGCAGAGACAATGCGAGACGGAGAGAACAAAAGGGGCCCCGCATGCCTAGGCCAAATGGGGCTTTAGCGGTAGCACCGAGAGATAGACGGCCACAGACCAGTTGACGCCCAGCGCTGTCCTGGTGCAGGAGCTGGCCAACATGTGTCAAGGTGCAAGCAATCACATGCTCGCCCTTCGCGCCGCCGCCGTCAAGTGCGCTTGCAATGCCGTCGTGAAACCGCCGCCTCCCAACGAGGCTGTTGCTTCTGCTGCCTTGCTCGAGTGCTGCATGTGGTTGCTTTGTTTTACAAGGCCCTTCCTCCCCGCCCCCTGGCCTGCCTCCACGGACCACGACCCATCAAATCTTCATCCTCGTCCTCGTCCACGGGCCACTGCTGCCGCTCCGGGCCTTGCTCTTCCCATTGTCGAGCCAAGGCCTCTCTCCCTGCATCCATTATCCGGCCTCTTACAAACACAGAGACGAAACCTCGTTGTCGACAGGATCTCTCCTTTGTGTGCGGCCCCGCGTCGAAAAAGCGAGCTCGGTCGATTCTTTGAATAGCCTCGCTAACCCACCGAGTCTTGCGCATCGTCCCAACCAACTATTTCTTCGCCGGTACTTCTTTCACCATTCGAGCCTTCAAACCACCGTCCCGACTCCGCGCCCTGGCCAAGGCGCCGCTGCCTCAATGCAGTTCTCGCCCGCTCCCGACGTCGATACCCTCCCGACAAAGCTTCCTCCGCTAAATAATCATGATACAGACAAGATTCTACCATCGCTCAGCAGCGTGACTGGCGTCCGTGGCTTCAGGGGCGATCCTATACTCGACCACCAAAACTTCCCTTCGCAATCACCACATTGGCCTCCATTAAGCGGCCCTTTAGCCTACCGCCAACCACACAATCCTTCCACTCGGCGAGCCGACAGTCCAGCTACCATGGACCTCGATGGTAGCAATAGCGTAACCAGTGCGCCGTCGCCGGATCGTTATAGTTCCAATAATAGTTTGAATTTGGACGATCCAGACGTTCGATTAGCGGCAGAAGCGCTGGGCGACCTCCGAGCAGGTATGCCGTCCATCACTCTCATCACTCTTGGTTGTCAATCAAAGTGACTTCTGTGCACATGTCCATGGGCCCGTCCTAATAATATTTGCTCTCGCAGATTTCGTTTCGTCGCCGCCAGATACGGCTAGCCTGGCCCCAATAAGCCCAACCATTAATGACCACCAGCGGACATCATCCTCCCAATCCAGATCACCTCAACCCGAACCATTATTATCCCTTCTGACGACTGCCCATCCACTTGTGGCTAGTACAATTGGAGGAGCTAGTTTTGCATACGGCGGGGCTAAGAATTTCTCCCCGCGTTTCAAGTCCGGTGCTGAATACGTCGAAGGTTATCTCACGCCGCTTGCCAACACTGTGAACTCGGTTGGCCGAGCTACAGGTGTTGAAGGCGGTGTACGTTGGTTCCTGGGCAACCGACGCCAGCCCAACTCAGTTGATTCCGATGCCAATGGCAATTCCAAGAAGCGGCGAAAAGTTGGTGAGGAGGGCGATGTTGCCAACAAGAAGAGCAGGGATATGACAAATGGTGATACCGACATGTCTCCGCCCACACCGAAAAGTGAAAGGAGACTGTCGTCGGCTAGCACCGTAGATACCCTGCCCGCCTACGACGAAATGAGGTCGCCGGCCTATACCGAGACTGAGGCTGGATCACAACAAGCGCCGCGGTCCACCCCCTCCAATGCCTCCTGGCCATCTCGCCTCATCATGTCGACTTCAGGACTGAGCGTCGCCATGAGCGCCGAGAGTTTACGAAGCTTGAAGTACTGCCTCAAGTGGCTTCGTTGGACAAATGACCACATGAGCCAGGTAATTGGCAACTTGAAGACCACACTGGAGGAGTACGAGAAGACAGCCCAGCGGCAAATCGAAGACTCGGAATCTGGCAAATCGCAAAGCTCTGCCGACGCGCCTGAAAATGCCGACAGTCAATCCAACGGACAAACTCCAGAACAAGCCCGCACCGAGCTGAGTAACAAGATCAATATACTCAAGGTTGATGTTTTGAAGACTCTTCAGGAAACCATCAATACCGTGTCCAAATATGCCGGCGGCGCCCTGCCCGAGAACGCCCGCATCCTTGTCCGCCGGCATCTAACGAGCCTGCCTCAACGCTTCCGATTAGCCAGCATGTCGGACACGTCCTCCGAAGCCGGCGAGAAGGATAGCGACTCGGCAGTGCGTGAAGGTGCTCAAAAGGTGTTGGTCTTGGCAAAGGAAGGTCTGGACATGGTGACGCAGATCACTGGCGTCTTGGATGGCACCATTGTCAGCGCTGAACAATGGTGTGAGCGCATGGGGAAACGGCGACGGCCTACGAACGATGGCGATCAGCTTGACTCACCTCGATTTGAGTCGCCCGCCACCGTTGTTGAGACGAATGGCGATGTAAAAATGGCTTTCAAATCCAACCATTTGGAGGAATAGGGGTCGAAAGCAAACCCATTACGCTATGGGGAATGAGAGGACACCGATTGGTACAACACCATTGGGGGGGCGGGGGCTAAAGGCTGGGAAAATATTAGAGAGGGGAAGCGGCTGGAGGAGCATTGGCTGGCTCAAAGGTCTGGTAGAAAAAACTGTTGGTCGGGATTTCCCGCCTTGGTGGAATGTTGCGAGAGCCCACGAGGCCTTGTCCCGCAAGACTTCCATGGATCATGGGAAGCACGTCTAGTGTCTGATTTTTCCCTTTCTTCCCTCTTTTCTTTTAGCAAAGGGGCTTTTTATTTTGTCGAGATGATACCTGCTACATGACTAGGGCGACGAGATATCAGGAACATTCATTCGCCCCAAGCCCCGGAACATGAGATGGGGTGTGGCAAAGTGCATAAAATGCACAGGCTTTGCTATTTCTTTACTATGTATTCACCAGTACCACGACACATCTTTCTTTTCTCGGTGTAAATAGCGGCGCTATGGTGTTTGGAGGTGGGGGGCTGAATAGCTTGGAATTGCACAGGACAGCAGCAAGTCATGAATTGAATGATTGTGTTGACCACGATGGTGCTTCGTGATGTGGTGGCTCGTCGATGTCGTCTATACGTGAACGCTAACGTGTTGTAGCACGACCAGACATGTTACAGGTCTTGATTAGTGATGTTTGGCGGGAACACGCCCAGACGCTAGACTTTTGGGAATACGACGTTACTTATGGTTAGTTTGTGGAAGCAAGCAAGCAAGTTCCCAAGGTATATTGGTTCGGGTCCTACTTTGCATGCTAGGGGGACGAACGCCTCGTCGAGCAGGGCTGTTTTGCACTTGGGGTTGAGGGCGAACTGTGGAGTAGACGGAGCCGTATGCCGAGTTGTTCAAATTGTTGCTGCGTACTCTGTAGATAGGGACTTGGCATGGATTGGCTCTTTTGACAACCTTGTTTCTACCTGTACCTAGCAGGCATCGTCCTAACAGATGGGAATGGGTTAGACTGCGCCGAGCTAGTAATCGGGGTAGTCGGGGTCCGGGTGCAATACGTGGTTTCATCTCCTGTCTCGTGCTGAACAAGCACCCCGCACCCCTCTGCTGGCGAAATGTCGGCGTGGCACCGGCAGAATGGCCGAGACGAAGATTTGTAAGTCGCGTATTAGAAGTAGTTTGAGGCGTTGAGAGATGTTGATGTTGTGCTTATACTCGGCTACCAGGGGTTGTTCCTGTGAGCTGGCCTGGTTGTAAATTGAATACTCAATCGAGTTGGGAAACTGGATTGATTACACTAGCATGTTTGTTTATACTAAATGTCAACTGGTGCTTGCTCATATCAACGTTGATAATTTGGCTGAGCTCGCGGTGAAGGATCTGCCGTCGCTGCGAGGCAGTGCCCGTTGCGAACCCGGTCGACATGGTTGTGATGACGAGTTCAACACCGTCTCACACCCCGAACGATGGCAGCAGTATCGCGACACACGACGACACAAATTTTAGTACATGTATACAAACAACCAGCCAAGGGCTGATGATATCCGAGTATATTATTGTATACGGTGGTATCACCTATATACTGCCATCCACACCGTTCCGCTGCTGTATGCACTGAATTATTGAAGCCCCTTGGTATCGCACAATCGGCTTCCAGGAGCCCTTGACGACGACACCTGCAGCCATGGTCACCCCAATGATAAAGTTAGCAAGGATACAGCAAATCTGTATTATATCATCTGAACATCTCGGCAGAACGAGCTTCTCGCAAGCCGTTGGACACGCCTCGTGCAGCAATAACCTGCCTTTAGGCAGCATTTGTACCTCGCAAATCGCGGATATAATATATTCGTCCGTCACCGTGACGGCCACTTCTAGTCGTTCCATTTCCGCCGCGTGCATCGCCGTAACGGTGTCCCCTATCTCCCGACTTGGCTGTCGAATTTAGGCAGATCCCGCTAGATAACGAGCGAGTGAATCAATCTGCCGCCGCAGCATCTTCAGTTCCTCGTGCATTTCGAGGACCACTTCCTCGAGCTTTGCTATTCTCGCCTCGCGAGCAGCGCAGCGGACCTCTACTGCCTTGATATTTGCCTTCAGACCCTCTGTCGGCTTCGCATTTTGTATCATCTCCCACGGGTCTTTTTGTTGGATGGGTTTTTGCCCGTGTTTTTTGGCCGACGGCCCTTCGGCAAGGCCCAGCTTGCGCTTGCGGCTTTTTGGAAGTTCCTTTCCGGATTCTATTTGTGCCCTCTGGTCCGTGGCTTCATTTTGGTTGGGAACAGCCGCCTCAGTATCAGGTCTCATGTTGTCGTATTGTGTTCGGCGTCTGACTGGTACCTTGTCTCCTCCGTCGAAGCCTGCCCTGGCCTCCATGCCACCTACCGCAGTGGCGCGTGATTCGACACCGCCGTCCACCTCGCCGACATCTCCAACAGTGCTCTTGTCTACTTGTCTTTGATGACTCTCTCCTGTGAAGACGGGGCGGGCCTCGTGGACATTTTCACGTGGCGGTTGGAGTTCTGGCCCATCGTGGTCGGTTGCCTTTGGTTGACTTGAGCCACGGGGGGTTTCTGCACCGGGTCCTGGCTCCTCTGGTTTGGCAGCCTGTTTCACTTTTTGCGCCTCGTCTGGCGTGGCCTCCGTGCGACTCTTCCAAGTCTTCCTTAGCACTCTTCTCACGTCTTGCGTCACCACGCCGGCTTCGACTGGAAGTGTGCTCTTCTGCTTTGCGAAGTCGGCTCCCCAGGAAAGCCTATGTACAGCGCGGCTGCCAAACATGACGGAAAGAATGGTGTGCTCGGCCGGCGTGGCTTTGCGGCCCTGTATCTTCCGATGAATCTTGTGGCTAGAGGGAGTCATTGTTGCCCGCGTGATGCGGGCGTCGGCACACAGTGCTTTAAACTCGCTTCTCTTCCTCTCTGTCCATGTATCGGAATCCTTGACCCAAATCTCGGTGAGTTTGTCGGCAATCTTCGAGTCCCATTCATTTACTGGCCTGAAGGCTTGTGCGAGGTCTGATGCCGTTGCAGGCATGGTGTTTATTCTCTAGCTGGTGAAATTAGTTACAAAACGTGAGGCTGAGAGAGAGAAGTGCCAAGAGGTGACATGGAGTTGAAGTACCGTATGAACCCACAAGTCCGATTCGATGCTGCGCCGGCTAGACGAAATGTAGTGGTGGCAGAGTGAATCGTGAATTAAGAATTGAGAAAACAAGAGATTTTAGATGTGCAATTAAAAACAAGATCCCCAGAGAAGAGATGAGCGCCAAGATTCAATAGCCCTAAGCAGCATTCATTCAGTCTTTAATAAAGCGTGAGGGTTAAAGAATATCACAAAGATCTTGATAAGAATGCTGGAATAATGTTAACAAGTGGAAGCTTCTTTATTGCGTTTAATGCTGATGGAGAGGAAGAAGCAGGAATCTCAACAGCTAGAGATGAATACTGTAAACCAGATCGCCAGCTGCAGGCGATGCCGCCAGCCGTCAACCCTCCAAATCTTGCTACGACCATGACCTCGCGGGGACAGGTTACGGTCATCGTTTTTCCCAGTATACCGCTACCGATATTCCGGCATGCTCGCGTATATCAGGATATACTGCAGATACAATTGATGCCCCCGTTCTGCAGCTATTTTGCTGTCGTGGATGGGCCGTTCCTGAGGGCTGCAATGCAGGTCTCAACTTCTACGCCGTGCTTGTCCGTGGCTAACCTCTTCTTGCTTGATTTATATATAGTTTTATCCCCCTAGCAGGATTAGAATCGAATAATGCCGGGATTTCGTTGCTATCACGTACTGCGAAGGCATTCCCATCGAGGAGGAAGGTAAAGGCAGCCAGAATCGCGACTCGCAACTCGAAGTGGAAGCAGATCACAGCTATTGCCCGCGCTTAAAGCATCAATTGATAGCCTGCTTGGCGAATCTAACATTCCGCTACCGGTAATCGTCAAATATCGCGATGCATCGCTCGAGTCCGAAATACGAAACGTTGTGCGTCAAGGCACAAGGCCAGGGGCTGTGCAGTATTGGGATTCGCTCCTCCAACCAGGTCGTATACATCGTATCAACGCATTGGCTCCAACACGAACATAACGTCCATACCATGAGTTTCTTCTTTGGGAAATTCCATAGTATCTACGCCATCGCCATTGGCTCAAATATTTGGTGGCAACGCCCGCGGTGTCCACAGGACCCCTCAGCTCATCCAGGCAGACAGTTACCGGCCGAATCGGATTGAGAGAGGGAGATTGACGTAGTAGTTACTTCACACCATGGGGGCCGGCACGAGTAGTGAGAACAAAGTTGACAGCAGAGATGCCATGAGAGGCGGGTATATATCTCTGCGCCCCTAGCCGTTTTGGCGTTCAATCTTGAGCGGTCATGACTTGCGTTGCCGTTGCTTATAAGATCATTCACGATGAAGCTCCTGGTTTCTTGCATTGTATTGCTCCAAGCCGCCACTTCAGCCGCCATACCCGCCAGTCACAACGCCGCACCAACAGCAACACTTGATTCAGGGCTAATTTTTGGTATTGCAACCCAACTCCCAGGGGCCCCTGGGCCTGTCAATAAGTTTCTAGGCATACCGTACGCAGAGGAACCCGAACGCTTTGCCCTCTCCAAACCACCAAAGAGATGGAGCTCCCCCAAGAACACAACAGCCTTTGGACCCTCCTGTTATCAACTGGTCGCATATACTGGTAGGTACAAGTCGTGGCGGAGCAGGCAAAAGCACTCGTTCATTATACTAACCCAGCTGCGCAGATGTCGGCCCTGGCAAAGACCTTCTCGATGGTCTCTTCAATCAACACCCGCCTCAGAGTGAGGACTGCCTTTTGATGAATGCATTTGCTCCCACGGCGCCAGGTCCGGCATCCGGCCGTCCCGTTGTTGTTTTCATCCCTGGTGGTGGATGGCAGATGGGCAACGGCCAGCTTGACTTGTCTGGGTTTGCCGGGTACGAAGACATTGTTGCATTCGCCTTCAATTACCGGACAAACAGTATGTCGCATACACAAATTCTTGACATGCTCTCTTTTCGAGATTGCTCACAGTAAGGGTGCCGCCCCCAGTATTCGGTTTCCCCAATAGCGGCGAGCTTCCCACGCAACGACGAAACCTCGCCCTATACGACCAACAGCTCGCACTCGAATGGGTGCAAAAGAATGCCAAGGCGTTTGGTGGCGATGCCTCCAAGGTGACCATATGGGGTGAGTCCGCCGGATCGCTCTCGGTCGACATACATTTGCACGCATACGCCAACGCCACGAAGCCCCCGTTTCGAGGCGCCATCATGTCCAGCGGCGAGTTCTCATTCGGCCTTCTGGGCATGGCCGCAGCGCCCAACAATACAAAAGCCTGGGATAGCGTCGTAGAAGAGGCCCCGTGCAAGGGAGCCAGCAAGATTGACTGCCTGCGAAAGATGCCGGCGGAAAATCTGGTGAATATTACCCAAAAGGCCGGTGCTTCTTTCATCCCAATTGAGGACAATAGTGCTGTGCCCGCTGGACGAGCTTCTGCGTGGAGGCAAGGGAAGCTGGCCAAGGTGCCAATCTTGGCGGGCACGATTGCACAGGAAGGACGAGCTCTAGTCAATCACAACATCTCGCTGGGTCGGTTCAACGAGGTATATCTGTCTGAACCGTTCTTCAGCAAGGAACAGCGCGGGGAAATCTACGCACACTACAGAAAGCTGCCGGGTTTAAAGACAGACTTTGACCTGGCTGCTGCTATATACACCGACTTTCTTTGGCAATGCGTAGGTGCTCCGGGCGTTACAAGAGTGACCAGATGGCAAGCTGACAAAAAACTGTGTAGCCGATGCAAAAGCTGACGCAGGCCTCTTCGTCGATCCATAATCCTACGTGGCGATATTATTTCAACATATCTATAGTCGACATGCTCCCCAAGGAGTACAGCTACCTGGGCAAGTTCCACGGCAGCGACCTGCTGCTTCTCGTTCTGTCGCCAACGTACGATGACACGACGGCGGCCGGGGCCTTGTTGACTCCTCTGCTGTCCACGTTTGCCAACTACTTTCGCGGTGCGATTGGAAGGTTTGTGCGAAACCCGGGCGGCGGTCCCGGCTGGCCGATGGTGGGATCATGGTTTAGGCCTTGGGACGTGGTGACTCTGGGTGATGTTGGTTCTGCGCACGCGGCGGGTGCGACGCCTGTGAATCAGACGGTGGTTGACGGGAGCTGTGTCTTGTTTAAGGATGCGTTGGATATGTACGAGAAATACGCGGGCTCTGCGTAGTTTGTTGTTATTTGATGTAGGAAGGACAGAAGCTGTTTCATGATACATTGTGGAATGCATCTGTGACGAATTCCCAAGAATGCTGGGACTTCTAGTAGCGAAGGCTTTGTTTTTGTTTTCAATTTCATTTCGATGTTATTTATTCGTATTATTTTTACCGAGTCATTGATGGTTCTGGAAAGGTCCGGGGGGCTTGAACCTTTACATGGCTCGCCAACCAGCACAAAATTGTTTCGCCAATCTCTCCGACTCGGACTATGTAGTATGGTATTCCAGGGAAAAGCACTCTCCCAACTTTAAAAACACAACTATAGCAATATAACAATAAAACTAGATGAAATCCGCCATGATACCATCATTTGAAAAAAATCGCCAATAAGCCGCATACGAGTATAGGGTAGTGTCCTAGGACGTGCCAGCTGTAGTTACTACTAAGCGGCACTGCGATTTCATCCCTACCACAACCAGACTTGCACTCTGCCCCTCGTCACCCGCACAAGACCACCTGCGAGGCATGTCTCCGCCACCGCGCACGTTTTCCATGGTGCTCCGACCATGACACTTTCTTTTTCTCGCAGCTCGCTAGCCGTAGCGACGTGGGTACATGACCAAGGTGACTCGATGTCGCTTGGCGCCCTGGACGACGGCAGGGGTGCAGCGGATCACACGGGGCCGCTGGCAGCAGTACGGTGGCACATTAGCTAAGCTCCGCAAAACCCGCCAAATTAATTTTCTGATTTTACGATTTTACTAAAAGAACTAAAAGGCAGCTGCATTCTCAACCCATAACGCTTTATATAAAAAAAGAGCTATAATAAATATAATTACTAAAGGCACGCGATAAAAATGCACCACTTTTTATGCTATTAAAAGTGCTTTTAAAAGTGCAGCTAAAGGTTAATTAGTGCGGCGGGTTACAGCGGTTTTAGCTGCACAACCTTGCCTTTAGCTACGTAGCGCCTTTGGCTACATAACGCCTTTAGCTGCACAGCGCCTTCAGCTACATAACGCCTTTAGCTGCACTTTTAATAGCGTAAAAAGTGGTGCATTTTTATCGCGTGTAATTAAAGGTCAATTGGTGAAGTGCAGCCAGAGGTCAATTGGTGCGGCGGGTTACAGCGCTTTTAGCTGCACAGCCTTGCGTTTAGCTGCACAGCCTTGCCTTTAGCTGCACAGCGCCTTTAGCTGCACAGCGCCTTTAACTGCATAGCGCCTTTAGCTGCACTTTTAATAGAGTAAAAAGTAATGTATTCTTATCACGTGTCTTTAATAATTATATTTATTTAGCCCTTTTTTCATATAAAGTGGTGTTGGTTAAGAATGTAATTACCTCTTAGTAAAATCGTAAAATTAAAAAATTAATTTGGCGGGGTTTTGCGGAGCTTAGCTCATGTGCGACCGTACAGCAGGGCCAAAGAACCACGCGGGGGATCGAGTAGTCAGCCTTGACGACAACGTCCCGGCCTGCTTCTCGTCCAATTACAGCTGGTCGATCTTGTCTATTTCATCCCCCCCCCCTGTTTTATTCGGTCCTCAAGTCAACGGATGCACGTAAAAGGGGGGCCGGTGTCGATCACGACGGGACGACTTGACCGGCCTGGGGAAAATGGCGGGTTTTTCTGCTCAAAAAGCAAATAGGCGCCGACGTTAAGAAAGCTAGCCGACAGCCCGACTTTTGGGAGATTACAGCCAGACAAGAGGCGGGAGGCGCATCTTTAGTGATTTGAGCCGAAGCACCACGTCCGGCATCACGCCGTGTTGCCACATTGGGAATTGCCCTGCTGCAAGGCACCCCCGTCCCTCCAGGCCAAGACCTGCATTTGCTCATCAAAGCCCGCAGGTAGGGAGACGACAATATGACCAAGGTCTGATGCTCATCTACCACAAGTCTTGTTCTGTCAACGCTGATATGACACTTTCTCCTTGCAGTGCATATTGGCCATTGTCTGCCTGTGTCTCACCGGCCTGGACCAAGAGATGAAGGAGATGAGAATCCATCCCCGGACTAGCTCGTCGTGCTTTGTGCCGACGTGGATGACACCGGAGTTTGCCGCCCTGCCTTGTGTCTACGCGATAGCGACCAAGTGATTTGTTTCCCGACTCGGACGGCATCCCTCTCCGTGCGCCACCCACATCGCCGAGGAAAGCAGAATCCCACGGCTCGCTGCCCTTTTCCGGAACATGGAAGACTGTCTTTTTTCGCAGATTCGCTTTCATTGTGATTTTCCAAGCTAGTGCCGCCTGTCATCGAAACAGCCTTACTTGACTCCGGGGAGACGATCCTCCGGGGAAAAAGAAAAGAGCGGGAAGCTAACCAATTCTTGTTGGCAGGCAAGCAAGCCAAGTATAACCTTGTTCCAAGACAGGCGGCATTGTGTACAAGTGAAACAAGACGGCGGGGACTTGTCGCTCAAGCCTTAGCAGAAGCCATCACAACTTGCGTGTGTCCACGGTTACAGTCAACCTTGCGTACAAAGCACGGGATATCTATGGCCCCGGCGTTGGAACATTAGACATTAGACTCCAATTTTTATGTGCATGTTTCTGTCTCCCTGGTGTTGAGCGGCACAGAATGGATTAGGCCATCATGGTCATTGTTTTTTTGGTCGAGGCCTGAATTGTTGTCTAACCCCAACTTCGTATCATCATGGTGAGTAGCACCGAGAAAGGGACAAGCAGAGGATGCGAGCTGATGAGGGCCATGCAAGACGGTCGATTTGGATATAAATATCAGCCTTGGGACCTGTCAAATCCAACCCTTTCTCTTCGTCATCAGCCACATCTTCTTCCACATTCACTCACACTTCAACTCCAACACTCCTCCACCAACAACTCCCCCCAAATCCAAACCAACCCACCCCACCCCCAACCTTCAAAATGTTCAAGGCTCTCATCGTCGCTCTCGCCGCCGTCGCGGTCGCCATCCCAACCTACCCGCAGCCCAGCAACAACAACGTCAACCAGTGCGGCAACGGCGCCGAGGTCTACTGCTGCAACAAGGAGGAGATCAACCAGTTCACTGGCCTCATCCCCGTCAGCGCCCTGAATAACCTCGTGGGCGGCGGGGCGTGCAACAAGTTGGACGTCAGCGCCATCATTGGCGTGACTGACCTGCTCAATAACGGCTGCACCCAGCAGACTGTTTGCTGCAACGATGTCTATCAGAATGTCAGTATACAAAGACAACTTTGTCACAACTAGGGCCACTAACTAACTGGTATCTACAGGGTCTTGTCAACGTCGCCTGCAGCCCCATCAACGTGTAAATATCTTGTACAGAGCTCTAGTCCCCATATCGAGTTTCCGAGGAAAGGGGACGATAATATCTGCCCCGCTGGAAGTAATGGCTTTTTAGCCCCTGAGGAAGAAGAGTACAAAGGAGGTGTCGGATAAGAGATTTTTTTTTCGCTTCTAGAAGCCCAAGGTGGGATAGCCTGTGGCTCATGTTAAATAATTTACCCACGCATACAAATTTACTCTGTCTCTTAAGCTCATGAGTCTCGCAGTGATTGGAGTCGGAATTTTGAATTTGCCACGTCTGTCGTAATATAGTACAGGAAATAGCATGAGGGCAATCAAAGGGGCTTGACGACTTGGACTCTTTAACAGGCCCAGACAAAGGATTGGTCTCTCTGGTTTTTTACTCCCAACAGCTACCATTTTCAATCCTTGGCGGCAGACGCTAAAGGCATACGATAGCACACTTGTATGGATATCAAGTCGTTGGTATACCTTGTCACCCCGTTCGTCCAGTCTTGCCCCCTTTGTGTCCACTTCGTGTCAACTTTTCACAAGGGTGGCTGACATGTAAACCGGGCACTCATCCCCACCACTTTCTCAACAACAGTGATTTCTGATGTCTGTACGACGGTAGTTGGCCAACCTGACGAGTGCTTGGACAGGGATTCCCCGGAGTGGAGATGGCCACGCCGATGGTACCATGCATTCTGTTACACAGCGGGCATGTACATGTAACCCGTTACATATTAAGACACATTCCGCCTACAATGGGAGTCAGGTCTGGTATTCCCGGCTGCGTTCCCGACCAACGACACCCGTGGAACAGCTTCCATCTCCCTTGTCCGTGGGCGATCAGAACAAAGATTCGTTGCCAAGTGGTGACTTGAGCCTGCAAAAAGGCCAGCGAGGTCGCCCCTTGGGCATTCTGACGATGACATGGTATGCTCACACGTTCGCTTTCGTATCCCGTCGTTGCATCAGACTTGGATATGTCACAATGGATAATCAATTTGACTATCAAGTCACGGTCGCAAAAAAAGAAAAAAAGAATGAAGCAAACAGTTGGAAAATTAAAAAAAAAAAGAAAAAAAATCAACTCCCTTAGCTGAATAGTCCCCATATCCTGTGCAAGTGTGCCAGGTAAGCCCGTGGCAAGACGTCGCCCATATTAACCTTGGCTATTCATTCAAGAATGACAACCCAAAGATGTCCTCGAAGCTTTTTCAAAACAATACGCGCCGAACCCATCACACGGTTACACGAGGGCTACGATGACGAGACCTAGGGCACAAGGCACTGACCGTTTCTTGTATAAATAGAGCTCCTTGGTCATGTAGGCCTCGAGGAAAACCAAGGACCTTTTACACCAAAGACTGTTATTGATGAATTGAGCCATGACTAGGGTGTAAAAGGTCCACGGGTACCCGTGTGGGTTGCTTACCCGTGGGCTTTAGGTAGGTAATAGGTAGGAAAAAAAGACCTAAATGGATTTATAAGGGAAAATAGGGTACTTATAATTATTTATTAGGAATATTAGGTGTTTTTAGGTACTTAAATAAGACTTATATAACTTACTTTATACTTTAAACTTAAGACTTATTATAAATATAATTAAATATTAAAGAGGATACTTATCTTTATATTAGGTTACTCGTGATATACCTAAACCACTTATATGATAAAATAGGTAACCCACGAATAACCCAAGAAAAACTTGGATACCCACGGGTGCCCACGGGTACCCGTTTTTACACTCTAGCCATGACTATAAGTTCTCACTAAGCCCTTGTCATGGACTCGTCCGAAAAAAAAAACCTCACGCATCCCCCTCCTTGTACAAACTCCGCATCCGGTCCGGAGCTACGGACGAAATTCTGCCATGGTGCAAACCACCCGCTGCCCGCATGGGCATAAAGTCCCTTAGGTCCGGGTGAGGTCATATCGGGTGCCGCCCTGACGCCACGCACATCCAAACAGTCCACTCATGACATCAATGCCGAAGTGAATGCCGCCATTGGGTCCCCCACACTGCTCCGTCCCGATGAGGATGTATCGGGAGAAGAAAACTATATATGTATATATATGTTAAGGATAGGCGAAAGTGGATGATTGGTACCTGTAACCTACACGAGAAGGAATGCGCCTTATATTATGACGTGGTATAAGGCGGGGAAGGCTTTACGGATGCAAGTGGGTTTTTCTTCCCCTGAGGATTTTCCTACTTGAAATACGGGTTGATGTACTAGAATAGCTTTTAAAGCTCTAGCGTACTCAAATAAATAAATAAATATATATATATATATATATATATATAAGCAGGCGGCGGCTTCGCTACCAGAGTCTCCTGCAGAGCTTCAGAGCAACCGGCACACTTTGAACCCGCGCACTCTTTTTACAAGACATGTCCCTCGCCACAAGACAGCTCGGCCGCAACGGGCCCCAGGTCACAGGCATCGGCCTGGGCCTGATGAGCTTCGCCGGGTGGTACGGGCAAAAGGACACGAGCGTCGAGTCGTCGCTCAAGCTGCTCGACCGGGCGCACGAGATCGGGGAGCGGTTCTGGGACACGGCCGACGTGTACACGGGCAGCGAGCAGCGCGTGGGCGAGTGGTTCCGGCGGAGCGGCAAGCGCAGCGACATCTTCCTGGCGACAAAGTTCGGCATCCGGGCCGGCGAGGACGGGGCGCACGCCGTCGACAACGACCCGGCCTGGAGCGGCTGGGCATCGACACCATCGACCTGTACTACGTCCACCGGGTCGACGACAAGACGCCCATTGAGCGCACCGTCCAGGCCATGGCCGAGCTGAAGCGGCAGGTCCCCCCCCCCCCCGGCCCCCCCCCCCCCCCCCCCCGGGCCCCCCCCGCTCGCACCCGGGCATGCTGACCAGACGCCAAGGGAGGGCAAGATCCGGTACCTCGGGCTGTCCCATTGCTCGGCGGCCACGATCCGGCGCGCCCACGCCGTGCACCCCATCGCCGCGTACCAGGTCGAGTACAGCCCGCTCTTCCGGGACATTGAGTCGGGCCGGACGGGCATCCTGCCGACGTGCCGCGAGCTGGGCATCGCCGTCGTCGCCTACAGCCCCGTCGGCCGCGGCCTGCTGACGGGGGCCGTCGCGTCGCCCGGCGACTGGCGCCGCGGCGTGCCCAAGCTCGGTGGCGGCAACTTCCCGCGCATCATGGCGCTGGTCGACAGGATCCGCGCCGTTGCGCGGCGCCACGGCGCCTCCCCGGCCCAGGTCTGCCTCGCGTGGGTGGCCGCCCAGGGCGACGACTTCATCCCCATCCCCGGCACGGCCACCATCAAGTACCTCGAGGAAAACACGGATGCTCTCAAGATTAAGCTGACCGAGGACGAGGTTGCCGAGCTGAGAAGGTATGCCCAAGAGACGGAGTTGCCGGGGGACAGGTACCCAGCCTCGTACGTTGCTCTCCCTTTTTTTTCCCCGTGGATAAAGGAAAAATGGACGTGCTAATTACGACTGCAGGGCGGCCAGCTCGGTGTTTAGGGATTCCGTCCCTCTGGAGTAAAAAATCGGGCATTGCGGCGGACAAAGGGGAGGCGGCCATGTTGATTTGTTTACGCTGGGCTGACTTGGGGTACATGTAGCATGTAGTTGGTCACGGAATGAATTTGATACTTTACAGTAGAACATTGTCCGCTCACGCAAAGAAAGCCATTAATGCTGCGCTTGCGCCAACACACGGGAGTGGCCCGCCTCTCCGGCGCGCAGAGTGGTATTGCACGTGCTGAAGAGAGCACGAATTGCCGGGACCGCTCCGACATTGCGGGGAAGCTTGCCGGGGTTGTACAAGATGCATAATATTTTACAGACTCTACTGAAAAAACCAAAAAAAAAAAAAACACCAAGAACCTGTTGAGTCAAAACAACAACAATGGGCTCTGCAGACCTTGCGCCCCCGTTCCCCGACGACGTGCCCACGGCGCCGCTGCTCCGACGAGCTGCCCAACCGGCTGGGCGAGCTGCAGACTCCCGCCCGGGGCCGGCTCGGCCTGGCGCCACGTCCGGCCGCAGCCGGGCCACGCCGTCATCAACCTCGGCGGCGCCCTCCCGCTTTGCCACCTTCACATTACGTGATGAGCGTGTCAAGTATTTACTGAGCCGAGGCAAAATACGCCGGCCAACCGATTAATATAAAAGCGGCCTACGCTTCCGTGCACCTCGCACAGGTGGTGCCATTCATGCCAACATCCCAAGCCGGCCGCAGGCCGCAGCTCGCCGCAGGCGGCCCCCGGCGGGGCCCCCGGAGGGAACAACCCACAGGCCCATATTAGCTCTCTCTGCTTTGCCCACCCCCAGGTCAACGTTTCGTTGGCATCAGCATCTTGTATTGCATCTGGTGTGTGCCGGTCACTCCGGGGCCTGGGTTCTCGTCTGTCCACACGCCTCGCAGCGCAGCCTGTGTACTCCATCATTCATCCATCTATAATGCAGACGCCACCTCCTGTTACAGGAACAACAAGTCACAAGTCCATCCGTTGGAGCCCTCCATCTTTGGTAGATATGTACAAAACCTCGCGAGTCCCACGTCTCCAGCGCACCCGCCCCTAATGCGTCGTAAAGTGGTACAGGTTCTCATCCAGAATCTCCCAGCTGAGATCGACGTGGCCCGCCGCGCACGCCTGCGGCGCCAGCTCGCTCAGGACAGTGTAGCTAAAGTCGAGTCCCGGGGCGCCTACCGAGTCCCACGCGCCGTCGGGCAGGCCGCCGCCGCAGCGCTCGCAGCCGTCGCCGATGAAGAGCGGCAGGGCGCTCCGGACGCCGTCGACGGTGACGACGACGCGCTTGCCGCAGTACTTGTCCAGGTTGTCCCTGAGCTCGGTGTGGTTCATGGCGACGAGGTAGTTTGTGCGCATCTGGCCCAGCGGCAGGGGCTGCGTGAAGGAGCACTCGACGGGGCCCTTGTTCTCGGCGGCAAAGTCGTAGCCGCACGCCTGCATCTGCTCCACGTCGTAGTAGTAGGTGCCGTAGCCGCGGCCGCGGGCGATGGTGGCGGCGGCCGAGGCGGTGGTTGCGAGGAGGAGAGGGACGAGTTTCATGTTTGTGTATTTGTGTGTGTGTATACCAAGGAGCAGAGTGTCAATGTTTTCTTGTGGTATGATTAAAGAGACTCGGGGAGTCATGAGGGTAAACGGGGATATTTATAGGGACGTTACCGAGTTCACTTATACGCTGAGCTTATTGTGCGAATAAGGGATTCAAGGTTTGGCCGAGGAGGTAGTGGGACGGCCGGGGCGGACAAGGCCGAGCGAAGCTAACGAATACTGAGCCGAATATACAGGTGGCCCTGGTCCAAAACGGATGGATTGTACTTCATGGTCCCTCGAGCGGACAAGCCCGAAAGGAAGCTGCTGTCGGCTCACGATGCATCTCATCTCCAAATTCGCCCAAAGGGGCATCGCGCCGCAGGATGACGACGGATGGGCCATTTGGCACGGATTAGGTTTGGCCCAGGGGTCTCCGGGGCGCGCGGCGTTGGGGGCCTTCAATGTCATTGGCTGTGATTGGGATAGTTCAGATTCCTCAGGCGAGTTGTTCGTCTTGTCCAGCAGCCATGGCTTGCAGCCGGTGGGCTCCGGGCGAGCTTTCGCGAGCCGCATGGAGTCAACATTGGAGTTGAATTTACCGGCGGAATTGAGCCTCCTCTGCCACCCGGATAGGTGGTACGGACAGGAGGTAGACATGGGCACGGCGCGGTTGATGCAGACATTGAAACCCCGTGCGCTTTACTACAACGACCGCCGTGTACACGCCTTCATTTCATCTGTAGTGTTGACCAAGTTGGTCCTGCCGCCTGCGGCTCCGGGTCCTGCTCCAACGCTGCCTTTTCAACGCCGCCATCACCACCGTCCAGCAGTCTATACAGCATCTTCCATACTAGAATCACGGCGCTGGCGGCGATTGTGCACGACGCGGCAATGATGAGGCCGCGTTTATACCGCGGGGCATCTGCGCAAGAAACCAAAAGTCAGCCTTGTTTCCCTTGCCGTGGTAAAAAGAAACCGTTGTGTACCTTGAGTCCTGAAAAGCTGGTTGCCTGGAAAGTTGGCAAGCTGAATACTCATGACGTACGCGGCCAGCGCAATAGGCCGCTTGTGATCTTCCATCTTGGTCGTCAGCCACGCGGCGCTGATGGCTTGTGCCGAGCCCATGCCCATCTGCGTCCATACCACGCCTCCTGCAGGGGCGTCAGTCTCGACAAACGTGTTGCGCAAAAACGAGCAGAAACATACCGTAAAGGGTCCATTTGCGCACATCGTCGGGTGCCAACGCAAGCCAAAGCAGACCTGCGGCACCAACCAGATACCCCACGGCGACATGGATGCCGCGCTCCTTTGTCTTGTCGCTGCTGAATGCGAGGCCAACCGACAGCACAAGCGAGCATATGCTTCCGACCGAGTTGAGGCCATTGGCTTGCAGCCGCGTGAAGCCTAGGGCCTTGATGATGGACGGCGCATACGTGTTCATGGGCGCAATCATGACCATGGACAGCAGCGCCGCAACAAGATGGCCGTACAGTCGCCAGTCCATAAAGGTCTGCCACACGTCAGACGCCTCGACGGGTTTCCCCCAGCGAAGGGCCTTGGTTGCATCGTTCCGCAACACGCGAGTCACTAGGATGGAAGCTTCTCGCTCGGTAAACATGTTGAACCATGTCCCAAGCAACTTCTTTGGTTGCGCGGCGCTGTGAGGGAGATATGCGTACGCAATTACCCCTAGCGCACATGTCAGGATGCCCTCTTTGGGCGTCGTTAGCAAGTAGTCTCTCGAGGCAAAAAACGAGACCAAATACAACGCAGAGTTGACCATACCAACAAGAAACAGCCACTGCCAACCCTTCAGCCCTCCATTCCCGCTCAACGACAACAGCCCAATACTCAGCGGCCCCCCCAACGCGCCGGCAAACGCGTTCGACGCCCAAAACAGAGCGTACCTCGACGCCAGTTCATCATTCGTGTAAAACTTGGAAATGTACAGCGCAAATCCGGGGATATAACCCCCCTCCAGAGCACCAATCAAGAACCGCACCGCACTCAGCCCGGCGCCATTCTTCACAAAGACCTGCGCCCACGTCACGGTCCCCCAGAGAAACATGGTCATGGGGAGGAAACGCTCGGGTCCCATGTACCGGCTAATCAGGTTGAAGGGCAGCTCGGTAATGACAAAGCCCGCCGTGAAGAGCGTCTGGGCCAGGTTGATGTCCGAGTTGTCGACGTGCATGTCCTTGGCCAGGGTGTCGGTGAGGGCGTTGCCAATGTTTGTGCGGTCGAATTGGAGAAAGCAGAAGCAGAGCATGATGAAAGGCAGCATCAGGAGGTCGACCTTGAGGAGAGCACGACGGGTTTCCCCCGCCGTGGCGCGAAGAGTGGCATCGTAGCCAGGCACAGTGTATATCTGCTGGTCTTGTTCATGTTCATCGTCGGACTTGCAGGGTGTCGCGGGAGTGCAAGGGGAAGCCGGCACGGCATATGCGGGTTCAGCCTTGTGGCACACTCTGTCTGCTTGACAGGCCATGATATGAGTATCCTTTGTGTGGGTGTGTCATGTGAGTACAGGCGCATGCGGCGAGATGCTTGTGCTTCCCACTCGCCAGTTGTTTCAAATCGGGACTCTTGTCCCTCGTCGTGAATCATCAGGCGAATATATAACTCTGTGTTCGGCGCTCCTCCTCCGACATCTCTATCTCATGGCTTGACAGCTTTTCGCAGATTGCGTCAATAAGTCAAAGATACCATCATCTTCCACAATGGCGTGCTGATAACAATTCGTTGCTTGAACGTGTGTAGACCCCTATTGTCTGGGAGATCTGACCGATCGCGACTGTCGAACTGTGAGGTGGAGTGGTCGAGGTTTCCCTGCGGTATGCCGATGGATAGCCCGCCGGCATGCCGTGGGTAGATGCGCAAGAGGCCAGCGTGATATAACGAGGATTTTTTTTTTTTTTCGCGTATACTCAACGTTATTATCATTCAGATAAAAAGTTCAGTCGCTCTATTCTCAAGCTGTTTTTGCATCAGATGGATACGAAAAAAAGTCGGCGTGCATTCTTGCGCCAGTGATTCGTAATATTCAGCCGCTGCTAGCCATAAACAGACCTTTTTTTTACTCAAGCATCTGCAGTGCCCGTTTTGGAAATCACAACCGTTTCCATATATTACAACTATAACTTCTATTTGCGTTTCGTTTCCCCAATGGAGCAAAATACTCTCAAGCGAAGAGGAGTCGGCCTCATTGGCGTCGATAAGCAAAAGACCTTCGGTGGCTACACGCTATTCTGTCCTATGACGAGCAATGTAGCTCATCTAGTTGACATTGACGGTAAGGAAGTTCATACATGGAGACTTCCCGGTCGAATTGGCCGACATGCTAGAATCTTGCCCAACGGTAACCTGGCCGTCAACACTCTTCGACCGTCTCCTGATAACAAGACCAACGATGGGGGGCCTTTCCCATTTCCCTTCTTCAACAAATATGGGGGCGGAATCATGACTGAACTTGATCCCGACGGCAATGTTGTCCGTCAATTTGTCGACCCGTTCGCTCATCATGACCAATATCATTTCGGGGACGGCAGGCTATTATACGCCAGTCTCGAGCCGCTCTCGCCTGAACAATCTACCCAAGTCATCGGCGGTGTGCCCGGTTCGGAAATCGACGGCATTACTTACGCGGATATGATTAATGAAGTTGATGCGCAAGGCAACCTGGTCTGGCAGTGGAAAGTGTCGGAGCGTCTTCCCCGAGATGAGTTCCCCTTACAGCCGCATTATACACGCGAGCACTACCCACTCATCAACTCTGTGTTGCCCCTCCGCGATGGCAAACATGTCCTCGCCTCTTTGCGTTCTGTATCGGCCGTCATCATAATCGAAAAGGCTACGGGGAATATTGTGTGGAAGATTGGCTCAGATGTCGTTGCTCAGCAGCATAATGCTACAGAGCTGGACAACGGCAATATTCTCATATTTGACAACGGCACCTTCCGCCCTGGAGAGTCCATCACATACTCCCGCGCAATTGAGCTTGATCGCAAGACCAAAAAGATTGTCTGGGAGTACAGAGATCGCTCGTCACCAATTTGTTTCTTCACCCCTTTCATGGGAAGCGCGCAGCGACTAGCAAATGGAAACACGCTTCTGTGCGAAAGCGCATTCGGTCGCTTGTTTGAAGTCACCAAGGAGGGTTATATTTGCTGGGAGTACTTGAACCCCCATTTTGCAGAGTACCCCGATGCGGAGACGGCCGCGATTTTCCCCGGAGAGTCGAATGCATTGTTCCGAGCGTATAGATATGCATTGCAGGATATTCCTTGGTTGAAGGTTAAACTGGAGAAGAAAGGTAGCATCTAGACACATAATTTTGTTTTTTCTGTGAACTTCTCATAATGGCATAAAATGAGAGTGGTTGGCGTATGGGCAAAGAGGCCGGCTTGGCATACCGCGGCAAATAAAAACGGAAAGAGTGAGGAGAGAAAAGGATGAGACATGAAACCGATTTGGTCCGTTGTGTCTTGTGACTTCATCCATGCTGTTGCTCTGTTCAGTGATGGAATTTAGTCTTCTTCCTGCTCTGTTCAAAGAATGGGTATATCACAGCAGTGTACCTCTCCCGTCTCCTGAAAGAAAACGACCAACACGGATGACGTCCAGCTGGCAAACGCCAGGGACAGCTTCAGTAAGCCCCACCACGCGGGACTCTGCCAGAGTCACAGAGTAACAGCTTTGCTCGAGGCATCAGCTGGCCCCATGCCGCGTGTATACTGTCCAGAGACCATGCGCCCTCATTGGTCACCTGAGAAATGCTCAAGCTAGCCAGGGTAGAGATGTCTCTTTTCCGTTTTCCTTGGTCAGCACACATCATCCGGCCCGTAATGGTTTTGTTTTTTGTTGTCCAAGACACAGCTGTGTCTTGACAGCATAATCGGGCCTCTGTATGCCATGCCAAAAGTTGAAAACAAGGACTATTCATTAGACACATTCCGGCCATGGCATGGTATCATCATTAACCGCAAACAAATCCAAACCGATAAGGTTGGGGTATGTGAATGTAATGCTAGGGCGGTGGAGGGATTGCTCATCAAAGAGTGGGATGACTGTCTCGGTCCCCATGAAGTTGTAAGTCGGCGGGGTGTTGGACGGTCGAAAGCCAGGGCGCAGCTTTTGAAACTGTGCTGAAATAATATCTCCTAATATATGGGCAACATGGCACCGCAGACCAATAGAGCCAAACCAGTTGACCAGTGAATAAATTAGTGAATCTAGCACATATAAATCGTAGCCTGCTGTCGTAAGCTGTGGCTCGTAATTATGAATAATCTGGCAAAGTGTGAGAGCTGAAAATGTAACGAGATGGTAGATGTGATCGGTCAAGTGGCGAGTCCGCTCATCCGCAGTGTCAATCGCGAGCCTGATGGTGGTTTCTGATAATCGTATCATTTCAGATAGAGTGGCAATATCCATGCCAGTTTGCGCCGATCTTAGGCTCTGATAATAGGCGAACAGATGGGCAAAGTGGAATCCCATCTGAAGAAACTGAGATCGGGGTTGATCTATACCTGTACTTAGTGGCGAGAGTTCTCTTTTCTGTAGTGCGTAGCGTCGTCAATGGTGTGTTTTCTCACCGAATAAAGATATCCATTTATGCTGCCACAGCTGTAGTGCACGAGTTACGCCAAGGAGGTCGACTCTCCCCACGCAGCATTGCTGATATATCACCCAATATAGCTGAACCTCGGCAACCATTCTGGTTTCATAATTATTTACGTTGTCAGCCTCGAGAAATCGCAAGCAGCGATCTATTTCTACTTGTGAAATTATGGCGCGTCTCTGCATGCCAACACAAGAGCTGCAATCGGATTAGCGGTCTTGTGCTCTCCCTCAGTGGCACAGACAAGGAATACTGACTGGAGATGCGCCAGTGTTAGATGGGTCCAAAGACACCATGCATCACAATGGGCCTTGGTGACAGGCGCAGTTGTGCTGTACTGAAAGGTATCTATGAAGAAAGGGCTGGCCATGGCTTGCTGCAAAGCATACCCCGTTAGCACCCAGCTATCGACGCTCAGCGGCACCTGGCCGATGGTTGTTGACCAAAGACTTAGAATAACGATGGACTGGTAAAACTCGATTCCCTGAGGCACAGTGAGCAAAGAAGCGCTGAGCAGCCGTTTCGCCTCTTCGAACAACCTCGGCGCAAGTTGGTCCGCCAGCTGGTCAGTGGTGTGTCGCACAGCAATCAGAAAGAGGCTACAGAGTAGCAATGGCGAGTGCCGGACCTGAAGCAAGAGTGCCTCACTAGACAAGTCCTCCGAGAACTTGACCCATCGGCCGTAGTGAAGATGAAATCTGGGTGGTGTCAGTTGCGTGAGCGATGCATGCGCCAAGCAAACGTACATTCTGAGCAGCGTATGCGCCGTGGGCAGTGGAACGAGACCTGTCGATATCACATCTTGACTCGCACCGGCTTCAGGATGCTCCGGCGAACCGACACCGGCATCGGTACACGCATCACGGATGAGAAATACCGGAGCCGGGTGTCTCTCGCGAGGACGGGGGTAATATGAGGTTGCTCCCGCCCCATTCTCGCTCAGAGGTGGGGTGCGACGGTGATGTTCCCGTGTGACAGGCGCAACATTGTCGAGGGTAGACTCGAGACGGTTGACGAGTCTGTCGACCAACGCCTCCAGCCTGTCGAGTCTATGGCTTCAGTGTAAGAATCGGCATGACGAGTCGAGCATTGGAAGGTCAAGTGAGCTCAGAGGACTGGGCGGTCGCACCTCGTATCCACCACTGCAGCATGAGAAGGCGATGCCGTAGCCGTGGTAGCTTGCTCAACATGGTCGAGCAGCGCATTCCTGGTCAAGTCCTCCTTCAGGGAGCATTCGAGCGACAGAGTTTCACATCGCAAACAAGTGCCCTTGATCTTGCTGGACGCATAGCATCTCGTCTTGTTCTTGCGGCAGGAATCACAGGCTTTGGAGGCTCTACCGGTGCGAAAGGAGGGCATAATTGGGATGAAGGCCGACCTATAGCATACAGTCCGTCATGTATGTATGGTGTGACGAGAGAAGAGGTTCAAGATTGGGATACGGCCAGCTCTGGGTGATGCAAATACCCGTCTCCAAACGCATTGATTGTGATTTGCTCGGCGGAGGTGCCACTGCGTTCAGAGTTCGGATGGCGCGAGCAAGGCCCCATACATCTTGCGTGCCGAGCCCACTCTTTCGATTCCAGAGTTGCATGTGCAGAGTTCCAGAGTTGAACACAAAATCCCCAGTATTGAATTTGGGGACATCAATCGATGATTGCAGATTTCCGAGTACCAGAGATTTTGTGGGCTCCGAGATGCGCGATCGATGGGCGATATCACGTGGGATGGCGAGAGCCAACAATCTGGGAAGGAGCTCTGCACCTCAATCTTGGTTATTCTTATTTTCGCACAGGATCAAACAAACAGCATCGACAGTGACTACATAGTCAAATAGGCTATCAACATCCTCCATGCCGCCGGCTGTTCCGCCACAACGCGTTCCCCCCTGTATGAGGTTTGCTTCTTTCAGCCTAATCTCAACCCAGTTGTTGAAAAGCTGAAGTCGGTCAATCTCTAGCCCTCAACGCCACAGCCACAGGGGTTTCACTTGGCATGTTCCGCACCTTTATATTCCATGGTAAAATCGTGACATTGGGTTGCTGCATCGATCGGTTGTCTAAGGTTGTCTAAAGCAGATTGTCATCTGTGCGCAAATTGACTGACTGACCCTTGTGTGACCTAGTCAACCACAGTCAATCAACATGCAACGAACGGCGAACATGCTATACAAGCCCAGCAACCCAACATGGTGCAATATCCAAGCCTGTGCTTTCGGATTACACAGGCTTCTGGCTCATCAACCACAAACCTTCAAGACGGCCTCGGGCCTGTAATCAGATCCGGCGATGGCGGGGGTCAAGGCAAGCTAGTGAGGCTTCGCCGACGCCGGGTAAACCAGGGCCAGGAGGCTATGGCAGCTCGTAGCCCATCTATTCAGACTCGGGTTTGAAGAGAGGTGAAGCAAATCGTGGTGGCTTGTTTTGTCAAGGATAACCTTGGACAAAATCGAGAACTAATTCGCACATGCTCCGCAAGCAACTTTGATAAAGTTCAGGTGTTATTATATTGGATAACTCGGTAGACATTCTTGCCGGGCATTGCTGACAATATTATTTTGCGAGACCTAGCTCACTTGTTTTCGTAGTTGTCTGACACTTTCCAGCCTCAAACCCCAATAGCTTTTGCAATGGCCTCCCCGACGCCCTTGGCTGAAGCAGGATTCTGACCAGAAATAATTAAGCCATCAACTACAACCTTTTCCCCCCAAGGCTGATCCGCGGCGTGGAAATTAGCGCCTACCTTTTTCAGCTCATCTTCGAGCAAGAAAGGCATAGCAGCGCTTAGCTGGACCTGGTCCTCCTCGACGTTGGTAAAACCAGTCACATTCTTGCCCTTGAGAAGCGGCTCGCCGCTCTTAGCTTTGGCGTCTCGGAAGACAATGGGCCCGTGGCAGACAGCGGCAACGGGCTTGCCCGCATTATGGAACTCCTCAATCAATTTGATGGAGTCTTGATCCGTGACAAGGTCATACATGGGGCCGTGCCCGCCCGGGTAAAAGAGTGCGTCGAACTCGTCAGAACGACCAATAAACTCCTTCAAGGGCGTTGTTTTCTCCCAGACCGACTTATTATTGTTGAGAAAGTTGACAGACGACTCGTCGCTTTTGAACATGTCAATCGAGCTAGGATCGAGGGGAGCGATACCACCCTTTGGAGAAGCTACGACGATCTCGGCCTTGGGAGCCAAAACATCATATGGATGGGCCAGCTCCGGCTGCCAAAGACAGTTAGCGAATCGACCTTTCATCCCAAGTTCTGAAACCATTCCATGTATACGTGGAAATGGTTATGTTGTCTCGTAGAGCTCTGACGAGAATTATCTCGGCGCTAGGACATAGCTCGGCCTGGAGGGTTTTCACATACAAGATACCAGCCCGTGGGCTTGTCTAGCTTGACAATCCTGTCAGCGCTGGTGAGAACGACGAGAACTTTTTTGGCCATTGTGACGGTCTTGTTTTAGTATTTCGCAGTAAGCCGAGCTGCTCTTGGTAGATGGGCGTTTGCAAACAGGAGAAGCCTCTACAGATGGTAGAAAGGTCCGGTGTGTAAAGCTAGGAGCGGGGTATCTCCAAACCCGAGGTTTTTGTGGATTCAATATTTGTCACGAAAATTACCAAATAATGGGCGTGGCCACGCCACGGTATTTTATGTGTCGTCCCCCCCTATTTACTGTGCGACAATATTCAAGACTTTTGTAAGTGCTGCTGGGCGCAGCTGGTGATTCACATGGGAGTTCGCACACGCTTCTTTTTATAGCTGCGGATCTCTATCAATTGCAAGTTCCTCCCTCCCGGCTTACCAGATGAGTGATTGTAAATCTGCACGAGCTTCGAGCCGGCCCCGCGGCCCCACTTCTAGCCCCTCCATTGACGTCAGTCACATGCACGTCATGATGCGAAATGAATCTCGGTTGACTTCAGAATTGAGACCGAGGTGATAATAAAAGCTATTAACCCATGCGTACACAAAGGAGAATGAGTATGATTTAAAACTCCTATAAAGGATGTGACGGCTTGTTCAATCCCAATCGTCCTTTCGAAAGTGCTATACGGAAAACCGTCATATATATATCGCAATAGTCTCCATCAGTAAGAGGCCTCCACTTTTGGCAGATTCGTTCAACAGAAAGCAAGTTTCTTTTCATAAAAGAAAGGTCCCGTGATAACTTGCAAGATGGCGGCATAACTACTATGTTAGAAAACACGTCAAATTTAGCATAGTGCACCGTGTGGAACTCCCTCTTGCCTTTTCCCGCTCGCCTGCACGCGCCGCTGGAATAGTTTCAATGTGGTTGTTTGGTCAGGAATGACAAGGGCGCGCTCTTCTAGAGAGGAGTCATGTCACTTTGTGGTCCACCAGTCGCAAAAACGAGCGCTTTTGGCGCCATCCGAGTTACGTTGGCTGCTGCCCGCACCGCGAGCGTCGGCGCGTGCTTGAAAAATATGTTGCGAAGGGATATTTGCGCTGCATGCTTCGTGGAAGAAGAACGAGGCTTGGGAGTGACCAAGAAAAAAGTCGCATACGAAAGCTGGGACTGTCGATTTATGCTCGGTCAATAGGAATTGAGCATTTGTAGTAGACAAACTTTAGATATCGTCGAATTATACAGTACGATTTCTGCCGTACGTACGAATAAGTGATACAAAGCAATCCAGGAGAGGTCAACATGCGATACTTGGCTTTTTACTTCCGGCTAACCGACATTAAAACTTGAATAAAAGCTACCGTCTCTCTACTCATCTGCGGCATCTCATCAACTCAACACTGCTTCTTTTTGCTGGGAACAAGGCTGCATTGCTCGAAAGCTTTTTGTAGAAACGAAAGCTAGCAAGTGATTTCTCTACATTCTCAAGTGTCCCGAAAAGCGTCCCTGCACTGTCTGTTTATTCCAAAGCGGCCACGGAGCGGGGTGACCCTCTCGCCAGACACGCGTCAAGCACCCCAAGTCCCGCATTGCCTACAATATTTTGCAGCGAAATGGGTGTTGGTGCTGAATTTAAAAGCTTTGCCCCAGTACTGATCGTAATGAATGACGAGGTTATGCCGCAGCAAGACTGGCACTCAAGTGCCAGGGCTCAGCCCCCCTCACGCAGAGCACGCAACACAATATCGCGATACGCTTTAGAGGCACCCCAAATTTGCAGCCGCCGAAGCACATCCGACGTAGACTGCAGGACCTGGCGGCTGTCCTGGTCGGTGCAAATGTCCGCTATCCCATGGATCCGGAGCACGAAGCCGTCACCGCCGTGCGCAACCCAGTGGCGTACCGTCTGCGCCTCTTCTTGGTCCTCCCCGACCAAGCCAGTCCAGATGACAGACGCGACGCATGTCCCGGCGGTTCAAGTGCGGGCTGGAGATGTCGTGTAGATTAGACGTGGCCGCGTCTGTCCCGTATTCCAATGCTTCCAGGCGGCAGCAGCTGCTGGTGCCGTCAATGATCTTATCAGGGGCACCATGGTCCACAGGAGAAGACCAGCGCGAAAGACATCATACGGCTCACGCGGCATGTTGTATGGATATAACCAGGAGATGGCCAGCAGCTGCGCGCCAATACGGGCCATGCGGCGGGGCTGGACGGGATCGGCATCGGCCCATGCCCGCAGCCGGCGCTCCGCAATCTCGATAGCAAATTGATCCTTCCCGGTGCCGGGCCCATCTGTGGCTCCGGCTCCGGCTCCGTCCCCGCTTCCGCGCCGCCGCCAGTGGCAATCAAACTCTCTGGCCGTCCCGCCTACTGGCTTGCCCCGCCGAAGTCAAAGGGACCTGTTCTCCGGTCACCAAAGATCGTCTACCTTTGCTGGCTGTGGCTCTCTGTCGCACTTCCATATTGATCCGAGTGTCAGTAGTAGCGTCATCTTGGACAAGCGCCACAATGACAAGTATTTAGAGGGTCGGAAGTGAGCTATTTGGAACAGGCAAGCCGCCCCCAGCCTGACCTACATCGACATGACCCAAGTTGCTACGGAATAAGTCCCCGCCTGTTTGCCATGGACGCCCAACCCCCGACCAACCACGCCGTCGTCTTCTTCGACGGCTTCCAGGCCCTGGACGCCTTTGGTCCGCTCGACGTTTTAAACCTGCTCTCTCTCAAGGCCCAGCACAGGATCTCACTTTCCGTCCTCCGCCCCCAGGAAGGCGCAGTGCCGACGCTCGCGCCGGGATTGGGCCTGACCATCGGCCAGTCGGTCCTGCCAACGCACTCGTTTGCCAATGCTCCGCCCGAAATCGAGGTCCTCCTGGTCCCAGGGGCGCTGGGAACGCGTGACACAAAGGCCACGCAGCCGGTCGTCGATCTTGTCCGGAAAATATTCCCCAAGCTGCGCTTCCTGCTGACCGTGTGCACCGGGGCGGCGCTCGCAGCAAGGACGGGAGTCCTGAGCAGCAAGAGGGCCACGTCGAACAAGCTCGCCCTCGAATGGGTCGTCTCACAGGATCCCGGCAACGACGTGCGGTGGGTGCGACGCGCACGATGGGTGCAGGACGGCAACGTGTGGACGGCGTCGGGCGTGTCGGCCGGCATGGACATGATGTATGCCTTTGTGGCCGCGCACTATGGCGAAGACGTTGCTGCCAGTATTGCGGCGACGGCTGAGTACACTCGCAATACACACCCGACCAACGACCCGTTCTCGTTCTGAAGAGGACAATGGGTTGGGTTGTGCATCTAGCCGAGTTGAATGGCTTGTGCAGAAAGCCTCGCCAGAAGTGGGATTACCCTTTTATACGTAGTACATAGTACATTATATTCCGTAGTCTCTATGATAAATATTGCATGTATGTAAGTTTAACCAGAGTTTCTACATCAAATCTTGACCCGGCAACTACCAGCCGTCGCGTGTCTAATGTCTGAAACTGGCCGCTTTTCACGACGGTGTAAACCGTGGCTAAATTGGCTCCATCGAACATCAAAGTGAGGGGGAAGAACTGCCTCGTTGCACAAGAGGCGAACCGGAAGCAGTTCGCGCGGAAAAGTCTCAAGGAATGAGGTGAGCTAACAGCGAAATATACAAAGGCAATAACACGGTTGGAGTGAAAAGAGACATATCAAGACGCACCCCCTGACAACTCGAGCTTGGGCCACGAGGCCTTTTGTTCCTCGTTCCTCACGGCACATAGCTTATAATATCTTCCAATCATATTCCCTACATTCGGAGTTCCGTGTGGAGGGGGGCAAGCCGAGACAGGCAACACAACATGCCCGATGAGCAGGGTGATATCGTCAAAACGGCCTGTCCTCTAATGGAAATGGTTGGGCTGAGTCTAACATCAGCTTGGCAGTATCCCATCTCGTCTTTTCTTGAAAGACACATGGTATCTTCTGCTCGGTTGCAAAACGTAACTCATCCTGCTTAGATCCCCAAGCCTTTCCCTTTCCAAACGTAAAATATCACGCAAGACATGGCCAGCAGTCACACTCCCACCATCAATGGCGACATCAACGGAAAGGCCGGCAAACACGCTGCCGCTGTCTCGATCACAGCAGTGGACAGGGTAACTCTCACGATTAATCATCTCACGATCAACGGCCTGCTCTCGCAGCAGCAGGAGCAGCAGGAGCACGGATCCGTCGCCAGCTTCCGCAACATCAAGTTCGCCGAGATTCCAGGCCGCTGGCACGAGGCAAGGCTGCTAGACGTGCAATCTCAAAAGGGCTTATGGGACGCGACCAACTGGGGGCCGCGGCCGCTCCAGACTGTCGACACGATGCCCGCAATGACGGGCCATTTGTGTCCCCGGCTGTCGGTTTATAATGCCATGTCCGAATTCGAATGCCTGAACCTCAACGTCTACACCCCAGTCACTGCATTGCAAGACGCTGCGAGGAACGACCCGGAGTTGCTGCCGGTCATTGTCTGGATTCACGGGGGTTCCTTTGAATGGGGCGACGGGAGCTGCGAATGCGGTAAGTACATTGGATAAAGGTCTTGAACCCCGTAAAATACGGGGAAATTCTCAAGGGGAGTCCTACAGCATCCTTTTTTTCTTCGGCTGACAAGAAACACGCTGACTGGCCGGACATTCCAGACGGGCAGTATCTCGTGAACCGCTCGATACAGACGTCCCGGCCCGTGCTGATGGTCAGCATCAACTACCGACTGGGGATGCTGGGCTTCTTTACGTCCAAGGAACTGCGTCAGGAAGCCCGCGATCGTGGTGAGGCCGGGTGCAGCAATCTCGGGCTTCACGACCAGAGGCTGGCACTCCAATGGGTACGTAACACCAGCCCGAACTCACAGCACCTACTCGCCACGTACCAGCGTAGCTGCATTCTTCTAACATGGGGCTCCCGATACTCGAACAGGTCCACAACAACATCCATTTCTTTGGCGGCGATGCGTCGCGTATCCTGCTGGCTGGGGAGTCGGCCAGGGCAATCTCCGTCCTCGCCCACCTCAGGGGCAAAGTACCCATGGCAACATCTGCGCTGCTCATGTCCCCTGCCATGATAGGCCCGAAGCCCTTTGCCGAATCCCAGCGTACATTTTACAAGGTGTGCGGGACCCTGGGCGTCGCAGGACAGGAGATGTCGGCCAGCGAGAAGCTGGCGGCGCTGCGGCGTCTCTCCTGTGAGTAGTCGCACGAGCTCGGCGCCAACAGACTGGAGTCTATCTGTGCGACGATCCCGTCTTTTTCCGAGACTGGTCCGGGCAAAGATTTGAAGAGGTGCCGACCTTTCCTCACTGGATCATGCGCGTTGTGGTGGGCGAGCTGGGCGAGGAGATGGGCGTCGTGGGTCATCACTGGGCAACGTTGCCGCCCGCCGAGCTATTAAAGACCTGGAAACAGCTGTATGGAGACCCAGAGTATGCTTCTGAAGTGTTTGCGCATATAATGTGGCCGGAGATGAGGCCGTTGGAGTTGGGAGCCAGCGCTTCGCCCAATCCCTCGTTGCGTACGTCGGCGATGCCTTGTTCAGCAAGGCCGTCCGCTCCATTGCCGAGACGCACTTGAGCTTTCGAAATGCCAGCCAGAGCGCACAGCCTCAGGTCCATCTCTATCGCTTCGATCAGCCCGACCTCGTGGCCGAGGGCGAGCCGCATCGAGGCCGTGCCTACCACTCCCTCGACAACAGCTTCCTCTTCTATTTCCCTGCCGTGGCGGGAGACAAAGCCCCAGAGCAAATGCGTACCACGGCGGACGAATTCAGCGGCGCGGCGCTTCGTCTGGCCCACGGGGATGAGCTGTGGGAGCCTCTCGGCAAAGAGAGCACCAACAAATTCGCCATCTTTTCAGGCGACGGGATGCAGGTGGTTCCTCAGACTCCACCAATTTGGGCGCGTCTTGTAGATACTCCTGAAAGGCTGGAGCAGCTTTTGTTGGGTAAGGAGCTCTTGTGGAAGACGGCGACAATTGCCACAGGCAAGTCTGGTGAGTCGTAGTCAGATGTACACCGGCCAACCTAAAGGTCAGGGCATGTGTGATTTGACTGTGTGAGTAGAACTGCGTTGAGACTTGGGAAATAGTGCGAGAGGACAAATCAGTGCATAGTCACAAGAACATTACTGCGTGTGCGCAGCACCCATGGAACTCCGATTCGTGTTGGCATACTCTCGTCATCAGTTTCGGCATAGCCGATCATTGCTTGCCTCACACTTGATTCATTCCCATTGCTCCTCTCTAAGCATGTTTTAGGGTCCATTATGAGGAAACGTCCCAAGGTTTGACTCTTGTTAGCTTGGCTCGGAGCGGTGACCAGCTGTCCTATAGCTGCACTTACAGAGCCCCAACGCGCAACACGCCGTGTTTGGAAGTCAGTGTCAGAATAGTAAAGCAATACGCCAGAATTCAGGTTTTCTTTCTGTCTGAGGAGGATCAAATTACCAACGTAATTGCTACTTCTGTTGGTGCTGGGCGGTTCAGCTACACTAAAGACTAGTCAAAGACATATTGTATGGTCTCGTCAGACAATATATGGGCAAGAAAAGGGTCATAAATACCAAGGGGAAAACTAACCACAGCGAACAACTACATTGGAGTTATTCTTCTTGCTCACAGTTAGCTGTTACACGTGCTATTGCTACAATGTTACGGTTAAGTGTCTTCACCTCTGTCGTTTCAAGTCGGCATTGACCACCAAAGTCGTCGCATTGGCCATGCATATTACGATTGTTGTTGGTGATCCAGTCAAATGTCAAACATCAGGCATTCGGCCTGTGCTTTGAAGCACTGCCATAGAGTGCCACACGGAGTTCCGCGTGTAACGCGTTCGTACCGCTTTCGTACAGCCAACTTCCAGAAATCAACGGCCTCAAGTTGGTGAAACACAAGAATTGCATTACTTGTGTAATTTTTCCGCTCCTCTCCTCTTCACACCCATTTCTTTATAACTGAAAAAAGGGAAGCGTTCACACAGGGAGCTCGAAGCAAAAACTGAGGAGCGTAGGACAGTTAACAGCAAACGCGTTTCAGTGATTTGTCTCCCTCCATGAAAATGACCCCAGCCACGACTCCAGACAGCGTCGTTGAATGGCGCCGCAGCAATTGGACAACATTTGGCTACTGTCTCATCGTGTCCCTGGGGGCCATCCTTTTCGGCCTCGACACGGCCACGATATCCGGCGTCATCATGATCAACAAGTTCCAGGAGGACTTTGGCGACATGGGTCCAATCACGGGCGCCTTTTCCATCTCAGCCGGCGGCCAGACACTCCTATACGGACTCTTATTGAACGGGGCCATTCTTGCCAGCATGGTGTCCGGCCCGATAGAGACAAGGTACGGGCGCAGGGCTGGACTGTATTGTTGTGCCGGGACGTCTCTACTAGGCCCGGCTGTGCAAGTCGTGTCTCCGAATATAGGCATTCACGCGTTCGAACGCGTCATTACCGGCGCTGGTATCGGGTTTGCCGCCAACTTCTGTGGCACTTACTGGAGCGAGATTTGCATGGCCAGACACAGGGGTCATGTCATGTCAGTAGCTGCAGAGGGAGGGCACCCCCCCGTGTTCATGAAAACTGCAACTAACACTTGGGCCCCGGTTTGTGGTCTTTTAGCATGATGTATCAAGGCTTCATCAACGCTGCTGCGTTTGCAGGCGCCGGCATTATCCAGGGCGTCCACAATCTCAACAACAAGTGGGCATGGAGAACTCCTCTAGTGGTCATGATGAGTGCCCCATTGTTAATGCTCTTGCTCATCCCTTTGCTGCCAGAGACTCCCAGTAAGTTCCGTCTCTCCATTTACAACTCAGAGTATCGCACGTCTCCCGCAAAAGAGTGGCTTGGAGGCTGACGCTGTCCACCTTTTTCCCAGGATGGTATGTCACCAGGGGTCGCTATCAGGAAGCTCGCGAGTCTCTCGGAAAGGTACGTGGCACGACATGGCCGCCTGCCGAGCTGGACCGTGAGATTGACGACATCACGGCCATGTTTGAGCTGGAGCGCAGTCTCGAGGGCTCGAGGGCTCGAGGGCTCGACAACATACCGAGACTGCTTCCGCAAAACTGACGCGAGACGCACTCTGATCATCCTGATATTTGTTCTGGCGCAGGCTTTCACTGGCATACCTTTCATTGCAGGGTACAGTATGCTGTCTCCCTGGAGCCGGTGCTGGCCGTCAGAAGTTGCGCCACTTATCCTTTCCCGGGGAACCCATCATCTCCTTCCAGTGTCTAAAAACTAGAAAGCCGTCTTGCTGATAGGTCGAACGAGGACGACAGGTATGGCACGCTTTCTTCGCGCTCTCGGGCATCAAAGAGCCGTTTCTGGCGGTAGTCATCACCAGTGTCTGCGGCCTCGCGGATCGATGGCAGCGTTCCCGCTGGTTGGCATGTTTGGACGGCGCCAGCTCCTCCTGACGGGCAGCATCTCCTGCGGGCTGTGTATGCTCCTGTTCGCCGTGGTCGGCACCGCCAAGACCAACAGCGTCGTGGCCGCCAACATTCTCGTAGCGTGCGTGTGCGTGTATCTGTTTGCGTACGGAGCAACCTGGGGGCCTCTCCCAATCGCCGTCATTACGGAAATCCTCCCGAACGGCCTGCGTTCTAAAAGCATGTCAATGGCCACTTCACTCGACTGGCTGGCCTCCATGCTCATCACTGCGGCACTCCTTACCTTGTGAATCCCCAGTATGCCAACATTGGCGCTAAGCTCGGCTTCATCTTCGGTGCCAGTCTCATCGCAGGCGCTGTTTGGCTCTACTTTGAGCTCCCCGAGACCCAGGATCGTACCTTGGAGGAAATCGACGAGATTTTTCTTAATGTGAGTTCCACAGGCCCTGTTCCTGTTTCGTGTCGTCGGCTACCCCCTATCCCATGTGATTATTGTTTTGTGCTTTATGCTCTTGCTCAAGCATTCCCGCCACAGCATCTTTCCGCAAGAAAATTGAAACGCTACGTCTGCACCGGCCAAATCAGAGATGGTAACAAACGGGTGGTGGCCGAGGTCGAGAAAGAACCGTATGACGAGGTGAGGTAACGACCGCCGTATGCCAACGTCCACTTCACGATGGTGCGGCAAGGCTCGCCCCGAGAGGAACTTGGAACATGGTATGTCGTTCATGGAGTTTGGAAGTTTGCCATAGTTCCCACATGCCAGTAGCACAACATTGTGAATCTCCCCACATGTCTGGAGCGAATTGCCTGTGTAAACTATTGGATTCCATTAAATTTTCGCTGCGTGTAAAACATGACATGGAAATGCCACCAATGTCAAGAGGAACAAAAACCTCTGCAAGCAGAAGGCGACGAGTCATGGTCGTACTCTTCTTCGCTTGGCGGCCAGATTCGGGCTGTTGCATAGCTAACTGGCCTACGGTTCACATTGTGCAAAAGTAGTATGTCGAAGGGAGAATTTGGAGCGATCAGGGGCAAACATCCGGATCTTTACAGAACAAGTATTAGACTAAGGCGCCACTTGTCAACGATTAGCGGCCATGGTGTAACGGTCAGCATGGCTGATTTCCATTCAGCCGATTCGGGTTCGACTCCCGATGGCCGCAATCATTTTTTGGATTTTTTTGCTGTTGTTTTTTTTCTCGCATTGCATTATTATGCTTTTACGTTCTTTGCGTGCCTACATCTTTTTGTAAGGCAACGCAGAATCGGTCTTGTTCCTTTAAACAATGAGTAAATTTGTTTCCCGCGCTGTGTCAACGGTTTTGTGCCGCACCCACATGCCGTCCTTGGTCCATCTCCCAAGAAACCTTCTTCGCAACTAGGATTACGACTTGGGAACCGAAGCTTCATCCAGCTGTATACAGATGCTAATGTGTTTACAATGGGGTTACCAAACCCGTCATTTGTGGACGAGCTTCAAATCCGAATGAACCCTCGAGCAATTTCTTATCAGTAACGATATTAAACCCAAGAAAACGCCATCCATCACTTGATCAACAATCACATTGTCCAACCCATGCAGCTTCAGTCCGAGATACAAATATACTCCCGCGGCCGCTTGCTCTCGCCGTGTCCGTCATCCTCAGCTACCGTTTCCGTTTCGGACCTTGCGCCATCCTCGTCATCCGAGATGAAAACAACATGCTCATCATTGACCACCTTTTCATCTTCCTTGTCCCTTTCAACGACCTTGTCCTCTTTGTCTTTCAAGTCTTCGCCGTCCTCATCCTCGTCTTCCGTCTCCGTCTCGCCGCTATACTCATCACATGTTAAGTACGTGAAACCCGTCTCGGCGTAATGTTGACCAGCTGCAGCTCCATCAGCTCTGCAATTCAAATGCCGCGCGCGACACTCACCCCAGACTGGAAACTTGTTCAGCTCCCCCCAGTCGCCATGCTCGTACAGCACTGCTGCCTCGTCGAATCTACCAGTCGGGATGTGAATCTCGCGTCTGACCCCAGAGCCATCGGTGTAATTCATCTTGTTGGGCTGCATGACAACCCGGTAGTGCCTATGTGGTTGTGGACGCTCGCTGGGTTCGGCCATGGCGACATGTTTCAGTTTAGTCGTAGATGTTCCAACTGGCGAAGACGAGTCTGGAATCGCAGGCCAAGTGCAGTACATCATATGAGGGCAAAGGGCTCAACTGGTTGCCACAATGCCCAAGTCGTCTTACCGTGTTGCCGTCTATCACAACGTCAACCTTTCGGGGGAGACGACTGTTGATTTTTGCGAGCTGACGAGGTCATTTTGATTTGGCTGCCCTGCATTTGGGTGGCACAAGTCAGCAGACCACACCAACCGTGTCGATGACCAGCACAACTCTCCGTAGGTAAGCAGTTGCTTCGGATAGGTTCGACTCATCGTCACGAACTTGACAAGTACGTACATACGTCACAAACGCGAGTTAAGGAGTAGAAAACTCCTCACAAGAGTAGACAACCAATCTCGGATACCCAAGTTACGGATACACGGCTGGCTTGGACAAGTTCACAACACGCAGTATAAGAGATAAGTGGGTAGCATGCAGAGTCGATTTCATGTATTAGGATATTATATAATTATTGTCATTCGAATACAAATCCCACATCGCCGGCATGCTCATCATGTTAGAAAAAGACCTTACAGCAAGGCAATGGCACCCAGGGCAAGGAGGACCTTGGCAGGGGCCATGGCACCAGCACCGGCGGTAACAGGGGGGTTGGTAGAGTTGCCAGAGGGCTTGGCGCCGGTGACAGTAGGGGCAGGAGGAGCAGGCTTAGTACCGGAGCAAGTGCTCTTGCAAGCCTCGTTGTTGGAGAAGCAGGTGGACAAGTTGGCACCAGGCTCGCCGCGGCACTTGTCGTATGCAGTGCTGCAGTTGTCGAGGCAGCCGTTGCCGCCGGCAGGCTGGCTAGGGGAGGCGGGCTTGGAGGGAGCGGCAGTGGCACCGGGACCGGTAGGAACGACGACGCCGGCGGTGGTGCTGACGCCGGGCGTGGAGGAGCAGGCGGTGGGGGTGACGAAGCCGTTGCCCTGGAAGGGGTTGTATCCCAGGCAAGCGGCGTACTTGGAGGCGCAGGTGGACTGGTTGGCTCCGGGCTCCCCGCGGCACTGGTTGTAGGCGTCGGTGCACTTCTTGGCGCACTCGTCGCCGCCAGGAGTGCCGGTGGGAACGGCGGTGGGCTGGACGGTCTTGCTGATGGTGCAGGGGCAGTCGGTGATGGTCAGGGTGGTGGCAGAGGTGACGGTGTAGGTCTTGGTGCCCTGGGTGAGGACCGTGGGAGCAGGGCAGTAGGTGGTCAGGGCAGTGACCACCTCGGTGGTGTAGACGACGTGAGGCGTGGCCGTGGTGTTGTGGAAGTCGCCGGCGATGGCGGAAGCAGTGGCAACGGCAGAGCCGAGCACAACCATGCGAAGGGAGCTCATTTTGTTGGTGGTGGTTTTTGGCGTGTTGCTGTATGTAGAACGAGGGACAGTGGTTGTAACCTAGCGAAGGGAAGAAGGCTCAGTGCGTTTACCGGAGAGTCTGATGGTTGAGTCTTGTTGTCGGATCATCGGGGAGGGCGGCCAAAGGGGCTTCTTTATACCACCCTTCATGTTCGTGTTTTGCCCCCTTAGGCGGGGAACAGACCCAGAATGGGGGGGGGGGGGGAAAAGGAGTAGGTACGAAGGT